CAGCTCTATACTCTGGGTGTCATAGAGGGCCAGGCGGGACATGCATGGGGTTGTCTAGAGCTCTGACTTGAGACATTGTGGGCTGCAAGGTAGAGGGGGCTCACTGCCAACCTGGATGTTATCAGATCTATGAGATCCAGTGGTCTTGGCACCTAGATGACTTCGGGTGTTCCTGACCCTGAAGGAATGAGTCACTAACTTGATTCGTCATGCCCAGATCCTCTCATAAGTCTCATAGCTCAGATCTTTGGCTGCCGCACTCTTCTCTCTCTCATCCTTGCTGCAGGTATTTGTCAGTGGGAACTGCGCACCGAGGGATGAGCATACCGGAAAGATCTCCTTCCACGGTCTGCTCCACAATCTGAACAACGCTTTGCTGACTCTATAAGACTAAACTGGAAGAACCTGCCCTGGGACAGCCGGACGATGGCTTGACCTTGGTGTTGAACCAATTTGGCAAATGAACACTCCGTGGTGGACAGCAATCTGATTTAGCCAAGCTGGTTCCACTTTCGGTTTTATGATGGCGGCTTAAATTCTCTCTGGGAGCTTCCTGAAGCGTTGTGACCACCTAGAATGTCAGAGACTGGACTATCAGAGTATGATATATGGGCATGACCCCAGTTTTGATGGCACTGCAAAATCATTTAACCGCCAGGCTGATTAAATTACTCAGGTCATCAATAAACCAGTATGTGCAAACTCAACGGAAGTGGAAGGCCAGCTGCGTTTTCTGGCTCAATTTAGCAAAGTCCAGCATCTTTGCCAGAGGTAGACCTCCTGTTGTTTGAAAAGAGTCTTGCCATCAACTCCTGGATCAAATGTCTGATGACAACTCTCGTTTGTTGAAGTGCTGGCAATCGAACCAACTTCCTCCAGAATACCATCTATCCACAACGTGATGCCCCTTGCCACCCTGTGTTCGTGTTGGTGCTGTCCCCTCCAATGGCCTGCGGTCTGGAGTCCTGGGTTCTCTCTAGGCAGTTCACAATGTTATCTGCCTGCCACTATCTCCAGCTGGTTTCCTGATGTCATCTTTCTCTGGAGTGAAATGCCTGGCCTTCCCTGGTTCCACTGCGGCTGGGGTAGTCTCTTCTTAGCAGGGAACAAGTTGTGGATCTCAGCTTTCTTGAACACTGAGTGTCATCCCTTCCCATCTAGGGCCTTCAAACAATTGATTCCATTTCACCCTGCCTTCAAACTCCTCTTTACAGGTGAGGCCTGACCAGGATTTCTCCCTGAGCTCTCCTTAACATGATCTATCACCAGGTGACATCATCAGGTGTTATCAAGCCACCCCGTCAATCAGCGTTGCTATCTCTCGCGTTTCTGGAACCCATTATTGTGTATACTTTAGGATATCTTTCTCTATTTTCCAGATGCTTATACCTGGAAGGTTTTGGGATCATTATTTCGGTTGTGAGGACAAGTCACCATTCTCTCTGGTCAGCACTCGGATCAGCCATAGGGAAATCATTAAACTCTGAATCAACTTGAAGTAATCACTCGGCCCTTTGCACCTCACCCTGGGCCTTCTCAGAGTCTCTTTTCCTTGTGCTCTGCCTCCTGTGCTTGTATATCCTGTCTACCAGACTCCGAATATCTTGCTTCAGAAATCATGAGAGCCCCTATACTGCAATGATATCGCTTCTCTCTCTGTGCTTTGACGAGAGTATACGGATTCACGATCACAGGAATCTTCAGAGTTCCCACGCTTGCAAGCTACAGGAGATGTGGGCCTCAGTTTGTGTCCGATACGCGTCCAAATAAGGACAGAGAACAAATTAGGCACTTGCAAGTAGTATGTCAGAAAAATAACTGGTCAGTTGTAGCAAAGCTGTCATAACTGCAAGTTTTTCCTCTCCCAGAGATATCTCTTGCCTTTTCCCAACTGGCTAGCAGTCTCTCTCACTTCATCTGGCCCCTGCTGACTTGTTATGACTGGAGGCTGAACTGGCGTTAGCCAGGTGTACTGTGCCAAGACAGCTTTGGTCATATCACTGGCAATGTCTTTGTTTCCGTGTAAGTTCTTTGGTTCTTTTCACTGATTTTGCCTGATTAAAACACCGTATCTTCAAAGCATCTTCTCTCAATGGCCAGGCAGCTTCACGACTTGGGAGCCTATACAGACCCCAAGATGGTGACTGAGATGGCTGGATTTTTGGTTCCTCGTCCTGACACAGCAGCCATACTTAAATATTATCAACATAAATGCATCAGAATCTGAAAAAAAATATTGTTGGTGGAGGTTGTGGAATGGAGTCAGAAAACAATGTTCACTATTTAATTGTAATGCACTAATGCAGCTGTACGTTAGATTTACCTACGATACATTTCCTTCGTGTAAAGTTGCAAAATCTATTAAACTTTGAAATTATTTTCTGTTTTATATACACTAAATCACAAAAAGTAGTGGGCCATTGTTTTAGCTGGGTACTTCCCTTCAATGACACACCCTAATAGACATGGCCTATTTTTCAGCCATATATGCAATTTAATAAATTGGCTTTCTGGTCTCATACTATCAGAGGTGCCTGATATCTCTTTAAGGACATGAAAATTTACTTCACATACCTTGGTGTGTGCTTTTGATAAGTGCCTCCCATAGTTGTAGATGCAACAGTCTAGAATCAACCTCTGCACTCAGTGTGCCACACCTGAAAACAATAACATAATGTAGGGCACTTTTCAGACACAAAGAATTTAACCAGCGTAATCTTTTTACCCTCTCTAACCTATCCTCCTTTGACAGCTAACCGAATTCGTGCTTATGCTGATCTGTAAATTCTGGACTTTTCGAGCTGGGCAGAGCAGCTTCTCCCTCCATTGCCTTTAGAAGCTACGCTGATAGTCCACTAGGCCCACGGCACATTTGTGACTGACGTCTTCTAGTCTTACACCATGTGACTGTCCTTGGTTGTGTAAGACATATACATCCCATGATACCACTTTCTCTAATACTAAAACTTCTTCACTTTACCAACCCACGTTCTGTGTCCTGTGGAAGCTTCTGATAATTCATTACATCATCCCAGCGTTCCTTCAATTTGGGGAAACACTCTGGCGTTCTTAAGAGTCTGCCTTATTTCAGTTCAGACATCACATTCAATTCTCTCAGATGGCCTGCACCCATAGCTGAGATGCAGTTTTAGCAGCCCTTAGATGCATTGAACACACCCCTACTACTGAGCGTCTATGGGCCTTTTTACCAGCTGGTCTGCATATGCATCACTTATCTCCCAACCACCCTCAAGTTTTGGTGCTTGTTGTAGGCTCTGTCTGGCTCTGAATAGTCATCCATGATTGTGATGCCAACTCTTCTCCTTACAAGCATCCGCAGGCAGTTAATTCTTTGCCTCACCAGGCGCGGTCGCGCATTGTCACTTTATCTGGTGAAGGCATGCATAAAGGTCCAAAACTCCATACGCCCTTGTCCTTTAAACTTGGGAAGGGGTGGCTTGGCATATCATCAACTACTGCTCTCTGTTTTCTTCCCCATACTCCCCAATTCTCCTATGGATAATTGCTGACTTGAAACGACGCATTGGCGGTAAAACGAAGCCATTTTCTCACGACGATGACGATGCCTGTTGCTGGGTTTCTTTCCTTACTATTGGCCAATTAAGAGTTTTCTGTGCTGAGAAGGCTGTGACTGCCTTCGTGATGCACGGTATGGGCCGCCACCATTCCAGTGCGCTTATCCCACCCACTGCCTTAAGCTCCTGCGCAGAACTCGGTTTACTTTCGCTCGGCTTTCTCGCTCAGCCGCTGCTTTGTTGTGCTTTAATTCCCTGCTAGCGGCCTTCCTAGCGGATGTCTTGCCGTATTTGCTGAAGCTAATTTCTAACACCACCGCTCTTATGATTACTTTTCGGTGGGCAGATCAATTGTCGCGTGGATCAAAATGTTTTTGCTTCTATCCTAGGTCTAGAGCTCTCCTTCCATGTCATCAATATACCCAATCTCAAATCTCTGCTTATTCAGGTAATTTTGAATTGCGTTACGTTTCACCACTCTTGAATTAGAACTGCGTTATTTTCTCATACTACCTGCTAGTATATTTAGACTTTACATTTGATGTTTGGGTTATTTACAGCGATATATGCGCTAGTCAGTACGACTTTACTGTTGTGTTCTGCACTTCGTATGACATTGTGTGGCATGTTTATTCTCTTTTTATACACTGGGGTGATGAAGATCACCCAGACAAGACTATTTCTGGACTAGCAAGGTTTGTAGCTTATGATGTACGAAAGTATATGGGCGATTACATGCATTATGCCTGGATACACACATGTCGCACCCACATACACTCTTCCCTGCAGTGGCCCAGCGTGTTGAGGTAGGCCGTTACACTTCTAGAGTGGCTGAGCTCACTCTGACATCATTATTTTCTTCAATAACAAAAGGTTCAAGTATTATCGCCACTATAAATCTACAGGTGTTGCACTGTAATCCGTGGCACTGGGAACACGCACGCACACACTCATGCGCATCCCTCCAGTGGGTTGAGTTTTGACCTTGGTTACTGCTGCCCGCACGTTGGTTCAAGGTAGCACTGCTACACAGTAGACATTCACGTTTGACTGTAACCGCCAGTCAAGCGGTTAAGGATATTTAGACTTCTCGTAGTACTCGAACATTATAATTCGGTTAAACCTGTTGGATACAATTCCTTTTAGTATTTCACTTAAATCATACATAGGGAATCACATAAATGTCTAATCCAATATATATATACATAACAATCATAGCTATGTAATCAGTCTAATCTTAACACTTAAGTTTCCATATTTTTATGACGTCACAATGATAAACGAAGCAATGGACCCAGTCTACCTGTGTACACAATAAATACAAGTTAAACTTACGTGTTGAAAGTCTTTAGGAGAAACAGGTTAGGTGTTGGTGGTGTGGTGGTGTGAAAGCTTGTGTACTTATGAATACATGCAGGATGTTAAGAGTGACATTACTCATAAACAAAATATACTTTGTTGTAGGTATTAGTAAGTGAGCTACTCCAAATGTGGGGAGAGGAAGGTTTCTTCAAGCACACACAAGCAGTACAAGACTTTTACCTGAAGCAGAGAGATGCGATGATAGAAGCTGCACAGAAACACTTAACAGGTTTGAATAAAATTTTGGATTGTTAATGCTGCAGACTGTATTATGATTTGGTCATTACTTATGCTGACATTGTTATTTAAAATTGTTGTTGAAGTTCAGTAAGAAATAATGAATATTTTTCAATAATTTTTAACTGTGGCACAGTAAAAGTACTGGATGGCCTTAGGTTAACCTTCCTGTCATTTAGAGACAGTTCCCTGTGAAGATGTCATTGGCAATTTTCATTTATACTTTTATAGTACAAACATTCCATCTCATTTGCATGTAGATATAATGAGGTTGAAAGATGGATGTAGAAAGAGAACATGTCTGTGAATTAGACAAAAACAAAAGCAAATTTATTACTGATTGGCTTAAATACCTAAAAGCTGTTCATTTTCAGGTCTGTGTGAATGGGCAGTGCCTACTGGAGGAATGTTTCTCTGGCTAAAGGTTAGTGCCACTGGCGAATTGTATATGTACTATATTTATATCTATCTATGCTCTCTACTGTTTTCCTATTATTGCATGGGGTGGCTCTAGAGATGCTAAAACTTAAAGGAGGGGGTGGGGGGGAATGCCTATAGCAGGTGAAGAAAAATAAACAAGTCTACAAAGCTGTATCTTCATCTATCAAATCATATCAGAGTACTATTCGGCTATGGTTAAGCAATACAGTAATACCCTGGTTAGCGCTGCCCTGTAGTGCGCTGTTTTGTTGTAGTGCTCTTGCCTGCATCTTGGAGCTCTCGAAGGGTGGGGCGAAAGAGTACTCAAAAGTCACAAGTCCAAACACTCGCAACACACAGCGAGCAGCTGTCATTGTTTTTAAGCACTTGGCCAATCAGCGTCAAACACTCTATTTACAGTACGGTACAAATTTGCTGTACTTAGACTGTGGACACATTCTTTTTGACTCAATGATTTTTTATTTTATTATTGACTTATCTTTTACTCATCATGTCTGGATAATGGCCTGCAAGTTTTAATGCTGCTAGTGCATCTAAAGTACCATGGAAAAGTATCTCCTTGGATGAAAAATTACAAGTGTTGAGGCAGTTGGAAACTGGATGTTGGAGCTGCTTTCAACTTGGCTACATCGACTGTTAGAACCATTATTAAGAATGCAAACAAGATAAAAGCTTCAGTCATGACAACCACAAAACTGTTATATTAAGTGTAGGTCTTATTGTATGACATAAATTGTGTGTGGTTAACTAAAGCACATGTGTGGTGGCGGGTTAGAGATACGCTGATGAGGAGCACTTGGCAACACCTGGTGCATGTTACCACTCCCTTCCACTCCTCTTCTCTTAATCACCCTCACCTTTCTGCTTTCTCACTCCATATTTTAAAATACTATGTAACGTAATGTTGAACAGATACAACGTTGTTCACTTAATTTTGTGGGTAGATATCAGCTGTTCGGTAACATCATCATCATCATCACCACCCCCAACGTCACCACTACCCCTATTATCACCACCTAAATCATAATTTCAGTGATGCAGAGATGGATTAGCTTTAGCCAGAGCAGAGCCGTACGATATCCACTGCCTCCCTATACCTTCCCACTTCCTTCCTCCCACCCACCCACTGCATCTCTCACTCAGTCTACTACAATCGTCACTAATATTCACCTAATGACTGTCCTTATGAAACACTATTGTTTATTCATTGTTCATTAGTTAGTAAATACAGTACAGTAGACCTTTCAACTTTGCAGGGGTTAGGTTCTCAAAATGGCCGCGAATCGCCAAATCCGCAAAAAACATTTGCTGATGGGGGGGGGGGACATTTTTACTTATGGTTTACAAAGAAATGTATATTCCCTTTGTGTTTGCTGCCCTTCGGACAATTATTTCTTTTACCTGTATTGTATATGTGTGCGCGCACACACACACACACGCATGCATGCATGTTCGCTCACTCACTCACTCACTCACAAATAATTATTCACTCCCTTTTTGTACTGTCACTATGTTCAAATGTGCTGCAGTATAACTTTCTCCCCGCTTAGTTATTATACATCATACAGTGATATCCCTGTTAGCTGGAACAATTGGTGCAAAGCACCGGATCACTTTCTCAAATCCAGAAAAATCCCCCATCCCTTGAAATATTTCTGGTTACTGGAAAAAACTTTCCGAGTGTCTAAACTATGCATCTTGTACAGACAAACACTAGCCCACATCCTCAGAATGTTCTTCTGTGTGCTTGAGAGTTTTCCAAGAGTCTAAACTAAAAATCTATATGATATGGTCGTGAATGAAGCTGTGTGTTACAGCAAGGACTGGTATTTTCCACTCCCTTGAAGCTGTGGGGGATTAGTGGGTCTTGTGTATCTTACCTGACCTGACACAATGTCAGGTGGAGGTAGGGTGGGGTATTAGTGATCTCATATTACTGACCTGATACAATGTCAGGTCACCCATTGTAGGGTGGGGGATTAGTTAGTCTGAGGACCTGAAGATGTCTTGAATAAACATGAAAAATAAAATACAGTACAGTATTTTTTTATACTTACACTTATCACATTATATCCCTTCAACATTACATTACAAAAGAGTTTAAAATGTGGAGTGAGAAAGCAGAAAGGCATGGGTGATTAGAGAGATGAAGTGGAAAGGAGTGGTAACATGCACCAGTGTTGCCAAGCACTAAGCTCCTCAACAGCTGATCTTTTAATTCACCACCACGTAGTTAACCACGCATAAATTTATGTCACACAATATAGGGGTGTGTGGGGGGCGTTAGGGTGTCTGGGTGTGATGTTGTGGTATTAATTAATAAATAAGCAATATTGTATCGTCAATGACAGTCGTTTGATGAGTAGTAGCTTACTACAATTGTCACTACTATTCATCAAACTACTGTACTGTCATTAACTATACAATATTGTTTATTATTCATTAACTAATACCCCAACACCACATCATACACACACACACATCTAGTTTACAGCCTTTTGTGTGAGACACTGTGTTGGACGAAAGATGTCTTGAATAAAGACGAAAGCTAAGGTGCTCCATTGTTTCCCCATTTCTTGTGTGATTTTATCAAGATTTTATATCACAGTATTTAATATTTTATATTATCAATGATAAAACACACCAGAAGTGGCTGATTATACGAGAATATATAATATAATATATGTTGGAGGTGTGTATCGCTGTATTGGGATTAATAGCTAGGGACGGCCCTTTTCTTTAAATTTATAAAATACAGTACATTAATGAAAATGAATGGAAATTAGAAACTAATAGATTTATAAATTGCAAGAAGTTGGATGGTCCATCTTTATTTTTATTTTTATTTTTTCATAAATACTGTATACAGTAGGCTCTCGCCAACAACGACTTCCACAATAATGTTTTCGACAATAATGGTAAGTTACAATAGATACCCATTTTTTATAATAACGTGTGGATTCTCTTGAATAACGGAGATTTTGCAGGAAGCGTCCGTGCGCATCAATTATAGCGTTTGTTTGCCGCCATGTTGATGACATAGTTGTCCGCTCCGCCTCATTCTCACTCTCACACACACTCAGTGGAATACAGCGCTGTGCCCACATGTGAGATTTTCGCCTCTATAACCAGTGGTTGCTAGGGTCGGTGATCAACAATGGCTTCCGCGTTTTTGCCTGTGGGGGTTAGGGGAGGTGGTGGAGGGAGTGATTTGCCGCCTGAACGCCCGGGAACTTTTAAAGTGAATGAGAAAAAGACCCCAAAGCTAAGAGACAAAGCCACAAGAAGCATGCCTACTCGGTCAAGGATAAAGAACAGATTGTTGAGCTCATTGAAAGTGGTGCACGGAACATTGACATTGTGAGGAAATTGAACTGTCCTGAGTCCACAGTGTGAAATATTATGAGGAACTTAGAGGAGACCAAGAAGAGTATTGCGCTGGCTAAGAAATATTTCGGTAGTGATGGAAATGCGAGGCGAGCTGTGAATGATAAAAGTGATAGAAACAGATTGTTAGTGATAACAGAGCATTTTCTTGTGAAATGGTTAGCTTGTAGAATGAAAGACAGTGCAAGTCTTAGCGGCCCTCAGATACGGAACAATCATCACACCAAGCACCTCAAAAACTCCCCCAAGCCAAGTGTTATATTACTCAAACTCTTTATTTTGATGATTGAATAACAATTCTTTTTATTTCAGCGAACAAAAAGTGTTAGGAAATTGGGTGAAATTCTTGGGGCGGCGGCACCAATAAACCCTTTTTACATGCACAGCAATACCCCGCTTAACGCGGTTTCGCTTAGCGCGATTTCACGTATACGCGGTGCCTCGCCAGAGCCGAACTTTCACTTAACGCGGGTTTTTTCCACGTATACGTGCAGGGTGTCCAGCTCGAGATGCTATTTTTAGATTTGCCCCACCCGCCACCCTGCCTGGCTGCCTGCCTGCCTGTTTTAGCTCATAAAATTCATACAAATTACCCGGCCAGAATATAATTTACATTGCTGGAATTCTTACAATTTGATGATCATTTTGAATATAAACATCATAGATTTAGCATTAGACATACAAATTTCAGATATAATGTTTACTCTGAGTAAATATGTTATTTTTTGTGCAAAATATATGACATTTATATTCAAAATATTCCTGGTCTTACAAGGAATCCAGCAATGTCAATTATATTATCCTAACTTTAATCTGAGGTATTATTTAATACTAAATGTTAAAATTTAGTTTTTTCACCCAACATCTCTTGAAGGGAGGATTGGTGGGGGGTGGGGGGGAGGGTTGGGACGGACCGCACGGTTGGAAGAGGGGGGAAGGCAAGGTGGGGTACTTTGATTGACAGATAGTGTTGTGATGAATATTTTTTTTTTATTAACTGAAGATATTTGTTTTAGCTCATAAAATTCATACAAATTACCCGACCAGAATATAATTTACATTGCTGGAATTCTTACAATTTGATGATCATTTTGAATATAAACATCATAGATTTTGCATTAGACATACAAATTTTAGATATAATGTTTACTCTGAGTAAATATGTTATCTTTTGTACAAAATATATGACATTTATATTCAAAATATTCCTGGTCTTACAATAAAATCCAGCAATGTCAATTATATTATCCTAACTTTAGTTTGAGGTATTATTTATTAAAATTTAGTGGTTTTCCCCCCAAAATTTCTCAAGAGGGAAGAGCCAGGGAGTGTAGTGTGAGAAGAGGGGGAGGGAGTTGAGTCCATTATTTGAATGGACATTAACTTGGCGACTGTATTTCTCTATTTCTCTTAAGTATTAGTTGTGTGCATGTACCATCATAAAATTAAGATGTTATTTTTACTAGAACATAGGTATTGTGTCGGAAAAAGTAGAGTTTGGGGGTCCGGCTAGTCTCTATTGGAATTAATCCCATATTTTCTGTTGTTCACTTAACACGGTACCCTGTGGGTTCAATTGACCGCGTTAAGCGGGGT